AATCATCCAAGTCAATTAAAGAGTCTTCTCTCAGGCAGTAAATTGCCAGACTCTGATCTGCTGTTGACCTCAAATCCCAATCCAGACAAGCCTTTCACCACCACTTTCCAATCAACATTTCTCCTCTCCCCATTTCGGCTAAATTAGCTTTCATCCTTTTTGTTTTTTTTACGCGTCTACTAGTTTAACTAAACAAAAGTGCCGCTAGACTCTCCCTCTCTGTTTGACTTGTGAAAAAAAAAACAGCTAGGAGCATGTTATTTCCAGCATTTGCACACATAGTTCCATGTAAATGATTTTGAGGTTTTTAGATGTATTTTAACAGTGCCAGGCTTTTTAAAGGTGATCATAAATTTTCTGATTAAGGTACGTGGAAAATGGTTATTAAAGGAAACCTTTTGAACAGCAGCCAGCCAAGAACAGCTGTTTTTCTCTGTGCTCAGATGCAAGCCACTCTTGCCTCCAAGTGCAGGACTGTAGAGCCTCTGAGGCAAAAATGCAATGTGGCTATAATTGGCTCTGTACCGGAGTGTGCGGCTTACTCCGAGCAAAATGAGTCAATCAGCGTAATTGTGCCAATTAAGTGTCCAAACATCTTCTGTGATCTACCTCTGGGTATGGGAGTGTTTCAACAAGCTGCTCTACTCAGAGCCAAGCGGGCCATCTCTGACGCACATGGATGTAAATGCAACCCCCCTGACACACACACATACACACACACACACACACACACACACACACACACACACTGACAGCAACTTTTATCAGAGCGTCACCACAAGGACTGAAGTCTTTCTCTGTGCTGCCGGGTTAAATGAATGGATTTCCGTCCATTGGGGTCTGCTCTTATCTGCGCTGTGGCACCTCGGCTAATCTGACACTGTCTGCTTTCCACCATCCCTCCCCTCACACACACACACACACAAACACACACACACTCTGGCACCTCGGGGCAGGATTTATTATGTTTCTCTGTCATGTGGGCTAGTCTGCTCACCTTAGCCCTGTGGATGATGTTCCCATGCTTCTGCTGAAAGGGTGTGTGCAGGTGGGTGTGTGTGAAAGAGAGGGATGAAACACTATTCCGAAACCAGGGACTGGTTGCACAAAACACCTCAAGTTTTCTCCTTAAGTATGACACTTAAGGATTAATGTCTCCATAGGGATTTACAAAAGGGTAAAGCACAGAATCCCTTAAAAGATTGCCTTACAAAAGGAAAAACAAGGCGTTGACTGCAGTGAAAGACATTTTACAACAGTAAAATTCTGCTGTTTCCATGGAGATTGTTTGTTTGCTTGTGATACCTGTTGTCATCTCACAAATTCCTTGAGATCCTTAAAGGGAAATTTCGGTTTATTTCAACCTGTCTCCTATCATCCTAAATTTGTTTCAAGTGACTAGTGACATAAAAATAATGGTTAGCATGTTAGCCGTTAGCCTAGATACAGCTGGGGCGCAGAGTAGCGTAAGGTAAGACGACACGTTTCCATGTCATTTTCTATATGTTCTCTGACATTTATCCTAACGATATGAGGCGGTCTTTGTGGAAAAAAAGCTTGTTTAGTGGACTAACTTTGCACTTGAAGTGTTCACTTACGTTTTAACAGGTCTGACGCTACTATGCGCCCTGGCTGTATCTAGGCTAACAGCTAACATGCTAACTATTATTTTTATGTCACTAGTCACTTGAAACAAATTTAGGACGATAGGAGACAGGTTGAAATAAACCGAAATTTCCCTTTAAATGAGGGCAAACAGAAAACAGAAAAAAGGAAATTGAAATGAAAATTGATTTGAGTTGAATCTAGTGTTAAATCACAAGCGTATCCCTTGGGTTCTCCCGGTCGCTGAACACTCATTCATGCATTCATTGTCTTTATTTATCGCCATAACCTTGGCCATGTTGCGGTTAGGATGAAGTCATAAATACAACTTTTCCCCCTTTAGTTTGCTTGTAAGGCCTTCTTTGCAATAGTTTTTAAATACACAGCAAAGGCTCACTTAAGCTCCCTGTATGCAGGAAAATAGATGGCAGCGTTGTAGACGCGGTGGTTGAACACAGAGTAGGGATAGAAGCCTCCATCTGCGTCTGTGTACATATCCAACGTTTAGCATAAATGAGCCGAGATAAGGTGAAAACCTGAAATACGTACTTGAAGATTTAGAGGAAACCTTAAGGAGAAGACTAATGGGTGTTTAGTGCAACTGATTTTCTTGTGAGGCAACCTTAACTCTTAACCAGACTTTCAGGTGTTTTATGCAACTGGCACCATGTGTTGAGAGAGCTTAGAGGGACACACCACGTCATTTACTGATCAAAGATGCCGGTGGGTCAGATGTGGGATGGGTGGTCTGCTGAGGATGTGAATGCTGATGGTTGTAATTCATGTCTGCCTCCTTAGGGGGTGATTAAGAAAGTGCAGTAAATTACATAAGTGGCTATAGATGAGCTCTTAGGAGTCTTATTTCAAATAGGGCCATTACACGTTGACAGGCATGAAAAAGAGAAGGGGAGAGAGAAATAGAGAAAGGGTATATAATCCAATGTTTTGATGGTTGGACCCAGAATTTGCTCTTTTCATTTCAGCAGTAGCCTCAGGCTAAACAAACAGGTGTCTGCCTCCAATCTGGGTGGAGCAACAAACAGATCTGGGCCTGCGATACGGTGTCGAAATTTACTGGAAAACAAGGCTGGATTCCTGTGAACATGGGAAAAGTTCAGGTTGAGTTCTGGGTTGTTTTATGCAAGAATAGTAAAATGAAGAATGAGCAAAACTGCTTTCAGGTTGATGACAGGCCGCAAGAAAGAGAGCGATAACTGTTTGCCAGATATCAGTAGTGAAATGCTTTTAGGCACTTAAACTTGAGTTCAACCCAAAAAAGTCTTTACAACGACATCTTTGTCAGTGCCTCATTCTGAGTGTGAAAAGAGAGGAGGAAACTCAGGATAGTGTTTTTGATAGGGGAAGAAAAGAAATGGAAACGCCCTTCACAACTTTGCTCACAATAGGCGAAACGGGATAGTGCAGCACCTCAGGGCTTTTTCAAGATGCTACAATGAGGTGTGTCAAAAGAGAAGAGAAAAGGTCTCTGGCAATTATAGTCAGGCCTGAAAAAAAAATAGCAATGTCATCTTAGAGGGCTTTTTTAGTAGACAGGCTGTGTATTTTTACAGTTCAAACTAATCCTGAAATAGAGCTTAAAGCGCTGAAACAGCACCAAGAAGATCTCCCTCTGCATACTACCTGCTTTGATATCATTTATCATCAGCAATTTAGAAGTTGCCATAAGGGTCATGATGTACAAAGTTGCACGATCACCCTGGAGATATGGAGCCTGCACAAAGCTTTTAGGCATTTCCATCTTCAATCCCACTTCATCATTGCTTTTGTCAGGGAGACTGAAAAGCAAAAGCACCGAGGGGCCTGTCAGCCTTATTATGATGGGTTAAAAGTGCCTTGATGAGGTTCAAAAGAGGCCTCAGACAAAAGCATTGCCCCATCATCCCCTTTTTTTTCAGGTCTGTGTCTGGCCCCGGAACAAAGAGCCCCCCGCCCCGACCTCCAACCATCTCCACCCATCAAAGACCCGTTGGTCTGGCCCTTGACTGACATGCATGGTCAAGCCTCCAGAGCGCAGAGGAAGAGGCTAAACCATAAAGCGCCGAGGGGTGCTACTCAGGATGATTGACACAGCCAAGATAATCCCCCTCGGAAACATTATTGAGTATTCAGCCATCTGCAGCGCGGTTTTCAGTTGATAGCTGGGCTTTGTTTAGTTGTTTGCCCACATATCCCTGACATCACCCTGTCTTCCTTTCCTGTCCTCCCTTTTCCTTCTCTTTCTTTTCTTTTCAGCTCTTATGTCTCCAACACATCTTTGCTTCCACACTGAGACAGACAAATCTAAAAAAACGATTTGCATCTACACTAGTTTTTTTTTCATGTCATTTTTGTAAAGAGTTCTATCCACTCTGAAACCTCAAATCAATTGAAAAATGGCTAAATCTTGCCCTTTATACCAAACAACCAACCAACAAAACAGACACAAACCTGTTCCTCTGTTGAGTCTTTGCAGGTAAACCTTTGTCCCCTTGAACACAGCTGATTTCATGAGTTTGTTTTTCCAGTTTACTTTGTTTTCCACCACTGTTTCTGTTGTCAGACAACTAAACGAGCAAAGAAGAATAACATCTTCACCTTTGAGAAATCTGTGTATCTTGTGGCCTGAGGCGTTATGTTTTCAGGTCATCCGTCCGTTTGTCCCATTCTCATGAATTTGATATCTCAGGAACGCCTTAAGGGAATGTCTTCAAATTAGGTCCACTCAGACTCAAGAATGATGAACAGATTAGATTTAGGTGGTCAGAAGAAAAGGTCACGGTGACTTCGTATTCTATTCTATTCTCGCGAACGCGATATCTCAGGAACGCCTTGAGGAAATGTCATTATATCTCGGACAAAGGTCCACTTGGACTCGAGGATGGACTGATCAGAAGTTGGTGGCTAAATGTCAAGGTCACTGTGACCTCACAAAACATGTTTTTGGCCATAATGCAAGAATTAATCAGCTAATCATGATAAAAAAATTTCAGACAAATTATGAAGTGATGACATTTTATATCCAAAAGGTCAAAGGTCACCCTCACTGTGGCCATTATTCAACCTCATATCTCAGGAACTTGAAACTGTGTTGATTGTATGGTCTGTGCTGCCGGGTTGAAGGTGTGTGTGACGCATCCATGTTTTAGCATTCCTAGCTTTTTTGTCGCACATCCATATTTGAAGCATTGTCTACTGTCATGGCTACATTTAAGCCTGGATAGACATGGATGTAAACTGCAACTTGACTGGTTGGGGGAGGCATTCAACCACGTGGTGTGAAAACTCTGCCTACTTTTAACCAGAAGCCAAAATGGCAAGAAAAAGATGCATCATCAGATTTAACCAGCGTAGTTTGGAGTGGACATGGTCTAACATTTACCCCTCTGTGTCTGTAGGAATCCTGATGGGGACGTTCAGCCGTGGTGCTACATTGCAGACCATGAAGACGGCATCTACTGGAGATACTGCGACATCCCTACATGCCAGAGTAAGAGCTTTTTGCCACTCCTCTATCTGTCTTTCTCTCTGTTCTGCCCTTCCATGCCCTCGAGGCCATATCATGGGCACACGGACCAGTCATTTTCATAGCTATGCTCATCTGCTCGCCTGCTATGAATAGCTTTTATAGGCTGTATGGCTTGTACACAGCTATTATCATCTAAAAAATGCCTCTAATTGCCTCCCGTCACCCCTCCTCCTGCCATGCCCGGGCCTGCCCTCACTTTAATGCAAGCTGTCAATCACTGCCTCTGCGTCTGTGTGTGTGCATATATGTGTGTGCGTTCCTCATACGTTTCCCCTTTGGCTTTGTAGCTTGTTTTGACACGTTTTTTAATTTGAGTGATTATGAGCATCTACCTGATTGTGGATACATTTGTGTGTTTTGTGCACATGTGGGCATGAGTGTCCCTGTACAGTAATTCCTGGATGAGTCGTGTGTGATGTGACTGTTTAAGTTGGGAGATTTCGCGCTTCTGTCTTCTCTACCGGTTTGGCACACATTTACAAAGAGCTGCCTGTCTTTAATCCCATTACTTTCATTCCCTCCACCTTTTTAATCACGGCTGTTGAAAACCGACTCAGGTGGATCAGCCTACACTGTTTTGATGCCAGAGATCAGGATTCCTGCAGAGGAGGTTCAGATATAGAGATCTGCTGCCAGCGTGTTTTTGTTTTTTTAAAGTAACTGTCGCACATGCTTTTATTTCTGAGGTAATTTTCACTTAATGTTATTCCAACAATTTCCATGTGCTCTTTACTTTACAAGGCAGATTAGGTCAAATGTGTTTTTGCATACTTTAAGTAACTGAAAGAAACCGGAGACTGTACACAATGTGAGAGATAAAGGAGGCGGCTGAAATTCAGCCCAGCAGAACTCATATATTCTGTTTAACTGGAATAAATATTTCATTTACCTTTTCAAACATGAATTACATTCCTCTTTCTTGTGTAATCAACCTCTACTTTTTTGCTCTGAGGTTAGGTATTTGTCCCCGTCCTTATCTTTCTACAATTCTGTTTCTTTTCCAAACCCTTATCTGTCTTTTCTTTGTTGGTTTGCTTTTGTTTTTAATCTCTGCCTGTATGGAGGATGGAGGTGGCCAAAATCATAAATAAAAATAAAATATATTTAAAATAAATAAAAAATAAATACAAATGAATAAATACTTATATAGTAAATAAAAAAAAAAATTGCTAAAATAAATAAATAAATTCAAAAATTAATAAAAAAGAAATAAATGAGAACATTTAATAGCAAAGTAAATAAATAGGGTAATTAATAAAAAGTAAGAAAGAAGCAAAGTAAAACAGAAAAATAATTTTTTGTCACATTTTATCAATTAATTAATGCTTATATTTATTTTTAATATTATTTTGGTACATTTAACAGCATATTAATTTCTTTATTGAGTCATTTATTTTTATTTTATTTTATCACCTTCTGTCCTGCATACACCTGACCCTTGCATTCTTAAATATTTTACGTAGAAATTACGCCTGGTCTCAAAGCCTGAAAGATAAAATGCAGCATCTGTTTGAACTCGCGGTAACCTGGTGGACAGTGGTGCTCAGACAGTGCAGGTGCAGAGCTGAGGTTTAGAGATGCTGTGACGTGTCACTGCAGTAGGTACCACCAGGCCTCTAGACCCTCCCAGCCCCTCCAGCTATCCCACCATTATCCTGACTGAGCAGCAAGCTTGACTAAAGCCTGCTGTTTGAATAGCTTGCGTGTTTATTTGTATAGGAGCTCGTGTGTATCCCATTAGACTTGTGACTGACCTATTTCAAACAACTGTCCATTTAGCTCCATTTTTCTAGGCCGATATCCCGAACCTTTGTGGTTTGGGAGGAAAGAGGAGAGCAGCCCGCACTGCCTCCGTGCGGAGCCGGGCTTGTCCCTTATCTTTGGTGAAATTAGGCCAGCTTTTGTTCCAGATGGGTTTGCCATGTGCTGGTTCAGCCTTGTTTTTGTCTAGGATCCAGTACTGTGCAGCGTGTAACCCATCCTTGCGACATGTGGCCCATTTCTAACGGCTGAGAGCTTCGCCCGTATCAAATGCTGTCTTACATGAACGTTCTTCTTTCTGTTTGGATATTTAAAGTTATCCAGAGCTCTGTAATGTAAGAAAGGGAGATGAGGTTTGCTGTGAGACAGGCATCCAGTGTCATGAAAACATGCCTGCTCAGTGGAGACAGTTTCTCCCTGCAGGGATACCAGGGAGCTTTCAGACACAAATGCTCTGTCTCATCTATTGTGAAACCACAATCGCCACGTGGTGCCTCACCTTCTGGCGGTGCCTGTTCTCAATCTGCTGCGTTTGAAAGCTTCAGCTGCCAAGTGAGAGAAGGCTGATGCTCTCTCAGTGTCAGTGTTCTCAGTCTGCGGCTGGCAACAAAAGGCTGAAAAACACAGTGGTGTGCCAGGGAAAGGGCAACAGTGGTCTTTATTTTCATTTAGTCTGGCTCTTGTTTTGTCTGCGCCTTTCGTTTTGTCTACTTTTTTGCTTACGTTTGATGTCGCGTGGTTGGTAGTTGGTGGCCAGCTCGCCGAGGCACCTGGAGCCTGCCAACGGTCGGCCTGTTATCCAGCTGGGTTCCCTGTCATCTAGGGTCATGCCACCCTGGTGAGGGTGACACACCCTGCTGGAGTGTGCACTGCCAGGCGGGTCACATGAGGCCAGAAACACATAGTCTGACAGGGTGGATTATAGTGTAGGTCACGACTTTTGTTGATCCTAGTAATCCCTCATGGCAGCGGTTATCATGTGGTGGAATTATGTAAACATTTCAAAAAGGCGCGCTGTCAAGGCACATCGACTACTGTACAAATTGACATTTCCACAGTGTGTCTGGTTTCGAAGCCTTTCTCATTCCCATGCAGGCCACTAAATGTTCAGCAAAGCGTAACCTCGTCTCGAGTCTTATCATTTATTAAGGTCTAGTTCCTGTGTTGCAGACTAAACACTAACAGTTTTATTATATTTAACTAATTAATTTAAGCTATATCAAAAGGGAAATTGTTTTTCACACTTTTATTAATGGTATAATTCAGTTTTCTCTTTACTGTGGGTCAGATTAATACTGATTTATCTACATCCAGCCTCAGTGTTTAGACCAGACAGGGCTTAATGTTGTCTGACTGAGCAGAGTGTGAGGATTTGGAGCCTTTGGCCAAACCAGTAGGTCTGAAGGGGTAAAACTCCAGCAACACTTGATTGTTATGTAACCGGTGGATTCTAGTGATGTCTGCATTGTGTAGATATAAAGAGGCCCAGACTGTGGATTTCTTCGGAGGCGATCTCTGTTTATTCCTCTCCTGACTGACAGCAAGTGGCATAAACAAAATCCTCCGTTATACACAGCCATACAAACTCCAGCCCCTACTAAAATTAAGCGACACAAGATTATGTTGGCATAAAATGAATTTATGAACATAGCTTAACAGCACTAAGACACAGAAGGGAGGAGGCAAGGCGGGAGACACTCCTTTATAGGTGGGACGCTCCCAAAGGTGAACATAGGGGTACAAAAACTGGAGCTCTAAGTATGTCAGGTATAACAACTGGACCAAATTTTGTTATAAGTGTTGAGAGTTATAATACTCAACATTAAAGATGTACATTTGACTTTTCACTCATATTACTGCTGTATAATTGACCCTGTTACAGTTAGACCAATGCCTTCCAGCTTGCAGCCTTCATTGGGGTCACTGTGGGGAAAATCAGTACTCTGCTTCTACAAACCAGTAGGTTTAGCAGATAAAAACTAGAGCTGACAGCTCAATTCATAATTGAGGGACTTTTAGTTGAGCTGAGTTTTTAGTGTTACACAAGTTCAGAAGTCAGATGGTTCCCAGGAGGTCTCGAAATTCAGTTCTGTGGTTACTTGTTTTGAGGCCAATTCCTCTTAAAGTAGCTCACTTTGAAAGTACTTGTGATAAACTATCCGTTGATTAACACAATTGCAAATGATTTGTTGCTGAGATTTTAAAGAAAATCCAGTTAAAAGATGTTTAAAAACATCTTAAGTTACAAATTCCAAGCATAGCTGTACTGTATGTCTCACTGCTGTGACACCCACAGATGTCAAAATAACTGTCGACTTGACCGATGGCAACGCGCTGGTTTCTTGTTCCTTTTTCAGCGTGTTCCACAATGGAAGGACATTTTGTTTTGGTGTGGCTCCTTTAAGCTGACATGCATTTGCTTCACGATTTGCCCCAGCTGAATCTGATTGACACAGAGTGAAACTGTCAGGGTGAAGTCCTTGAGCGTTTGCCAAGACAAAGACGCTTTGATCTGTGCGGGGGGAGCTCATCTCTCAACAGCGTACTGTATAACCAAGAAAAACTTGTTGTTCCACCGTGTTTTTCTGCAGAAAAGAGACTTGCAGCAGCTGTGAGGCTTCCCCCTAATGACACAATGCCTTTTAGGAAAATGCTAATTTGGAATATATATTTTATGTGGAGGATAATAAAAAGAATTGTTAAGTAAAACCCAGTAATAACAGTGGGTGATAAAGGCATTTTTATCCTGCAGGAATCAAATTTAGCAACTTTTTCAACATCATTTTTTATGGCTTTAAAGCAGCACTCAGCAAGATCCACAAAAGAACATCTCAGAGTTCTCTTTTACCATTTACCTGACAAAATGTTGATATTTCTGGCTTTCAAAACTCACTGTACATTATATCAGTCAATAACAAAATTATTTAGACACAATAAACACAGGGCCTGTTAAAAGGATGGAAAAAATAAACATTTTCTATTAAAAGAGTGTGGTGCCATATGTTTACACATCGTTATTGTGGCTGACAATACCTGCTGTGTTGGGTAATGAGTCTCATTATCTGTATGCCAGAATTCCCGTAAGCCACTTTGTGATATTTAAAGATGTTCCTCTCTTATAGTGCTGTCAGTGTGTCCGCACCTTCAGTTTTAAAATACTTGATGTATGACTTGAATACCTCACTTCCAGTAGGCCGTTC